TTTTTTATTGTTTGATTGAATTATGCTTATCTTATGTGATAGCATTTTTATGTGGGCCATGCTTTTTTGACATTTTACACAGTTTCAGAAAAAACTAAGCAAGCTAGAAGAACAGCTCAGTAACGAATTACAAGCCAAAGATGAACTAGAACAGAAGTACAGGTGAGACTGTTTTGACATGTTTGGTATGTTTATAAAGAAGTTTTATTACACCTTTTGTTTTTGAATGCTTGAAGGCATTTTAATCCACTGTGGGGATTCCCAACCCCGCAAGCAGACCTTGCTGTAAATTTTGGCTTAATTCTTGCTTCTCCTGTGACTACTGGGGGGTTTTTTTGTTTTTTTTTTTTAATTGCCTTAACTTTACATAAGAATCTCTATTGTTTGAGTGATTTCCATAGTCCTTGAAGTTTCATATGATTGAAGAAAATAGAGTATCTTACATAAAATTAATGAGACACATCCAAACATTGTAATTTCTGTATAGTCAACAGGGTTTAAAAATATTTTTCAAATTTCTTCAGGTCTACTAATACTCGTTTAGAGAAGATAGTAAAAGAGCTAGATGAAGAGGTGAGTCCATAGTTCTTTCTTACTGGAATTAGAACTTTAACATTTGTATGTGGCTTTTTTCCTTAGGAAACAGCAAATTACTTTTGAGTAGCTGTGTATTTATAGCACGTAGTACCAGCTGATTTCTTGTTATTCACAAGCATGAAATTGTTGTCACTGCTAAAATACTTTTGTTATGATTTCTGTACTACAATTAGACATTTGTTTCCAGAATTTGTTTTTTACCATGTTTTTAATTTGGAGGACAGTGTGATATAAGTATCCCATGTACGATTCTAAAAATTGGAAGGTGTGAGAGTAGCATTGCTAGAAAAGAAAGGCCTTTCTTTGCATTGTTCAAACAGTGTCAGTAAAAGGAGACTATTTCTTGCCCAGCTTTGCACCTGAGTGCTACTACAAATTTGTCCTATCTTTAGTGAATGTATACAACTTGATGTATTGCTCATCCAGGTGCGTGTCAAAACCTTACATTGCATGTATGTTTCTTTGCTTCCAGAGTGGCTGCAAGGCAGGTTTACCAGGCTCGTCAAATCCAAATGATCAAATAGTCGTTAAATTGCAAAAGCTCCTCCATAGTCATGTTGGGCTGGATCTGACCACACGTTCTGAGACGCTGTATTTGTGGCAGGCAAATAGATAGACTGTGTCATTCTCTGTTACAAACCAAATTGAGTGTATGAGCTGTCTTTTTACCATTTAAAGAATACCACTCTTCTGTGTGTGATTTGTGGTGGTTGTTTTTTAATATATCCAGATAACTTCAAGGAAGAATGTAGAATCTGCAGTCAGACAGTTAGAAAGAGAGAAGGCTCTTCTTCAGCATAAGAATACAGAATACCAGAGAAAAGCAGAACATGAAGCAGATAAGAAACGCAATTTGGAAAATGAGGGTATGTTGAACCACACTTGAAGGGTTCCATTTTGATGTGGGTTTTTAAAAGATAAAATAAATGAATTATAGTTCGAATTGAAGCTTTTTCATGACAGTGATTAACAATGTTGAATTGTTTTTTTTATAGTTAACAGTTTGAAAGACCAACTTGAAGATTTAAAAAAGAGGAATCAAAACTCTCAAATATCCAATGAGAAAATCAATCAACTACAAAGACAGGCATGTCACCTTTATATGTGTGTATTTTAAAATAATAGGTGTTTGAAGTACAGACTTTTAGTAGTGGGGGGAATTGAAATGTTTAATAGAGTTTTAAAAGCCATTCTTTCTTGTCACGTTTTGTCATTCAAAAATAATCTTAAAATACACTCGTTTTTATTTCTTTAATCCATAAAATCTAGTATTCTGTAGTAGAAATTGTAGTTGTTGTACTTAAATTGTTTCTGAAGTATATTTTTATCAATCTTTAGTTGGATGAAGCCAATTCTTTGCTACGGTCAGAGTCTGATACTGCAGCCAGGTTAAGAAAGAACCAGACAGAAAGCACGAAGCAAATCCAGCAGCTGGAAGCTAATAATAGAGAACTACAAGATAAGAACTGCCTGCTAGAGAATGCGAAACTCAAACTGGAGAAGGACTTTCTCAATCTTCAGTCAGCTCTAGAATCAGAAAGGAGAGATAGAAGTCATGGATCAGAGATTATCAGTGATTTACAAGGTATTGTTGCAAATCTTCTGAAGTTAAGCTTGCCTCTTGTTTAAGAAATAAAATTAGGTTTTGGCGATGTTCTTTGAGCTTCAGATGGTGACTTAGATTCGTGTGCTGTTCTATACATTGTTATGGAAGTGTGGGCACACATTTAAGAGAAAACGTGTGAAAACGTTTATAAATGTTATTGATAACTTCTAAAATCACCCTGAAGGGAAATATTCTTAACGGTTAGAATAAGAAGCTGTTATATTTGAAAAAAAAAAAAAATTAAAAAATCTCTAAGTAGATAAAGTACATTCTTTTTTTCACACTCTGCCCAGCCTCACTGAAGTTGTGGTCATTTTTAGGTCGAATATCTAGCCTCGAAGAAGAAGTAAAAAATGGGAAGAGTGCATTAGCCAAACTGGAAATGGAGAAGAGACAACTGCAGGAAAAACTCACAGATTTAGAGAAGGTAACAGCACTTCTAAGTGAACCTTGTTGTTACATCCTTAGGGAATTTTTAAGTTGACGCTTTTATTATTTGAGACATGGAGACGGAATCGATGCAAATAATAAACCTTGTTTTCAGTGTTTATTCTTTTTCCTTGAATTTTTTGTTTATTGTTTGTGCAATTTAAGAAATGAGGGAAGAAAGATAATATTTCCCTTATGATATACTTCTATACATAATAATGTACTCCAGTGTGTAGCTTAACAGTGCAGTAGTAACATTTCATTTTACCTGTTGCAGGTTTTTTTAACTCTCAATACTGCAAAAGATAAAGTTTTTGGTTTGGTTTTGGTTTTTTTTACAAATTTGTCATTGAAATTAAAGTATTGAAAAAATTATCCAATAAACTTAATCTTTGAACCACTCTTATTACAGAATCTTGGTTGTTAAAACAGGAGGTCTATAATTGTTTGCATCTGGGGATATTGTTGTGCATTTTTGGAGCACTTTGCCATCCATAGAAAAACATTTGTAGAAATGAGCTCTTGGTTAGCTCCTTAGAGTCTGAGCTCTCTCTTCTACTCTTAGCACACTTCCAAGCAGCATGTTTACTGTTGTCAAAAATTTTGTCTTTGACCTGATGAATTTAATGTTTCATTTCAATGTATTTTTTACTTAACACAGGAAAAGAGCAACATGGAAATAGATATGACATATAAATTCAAAGTTATGCAACAGAACCTTGAACAAGAAGAAGCTGAACATAAAGCCACAAAAGCACGATTAGCAGATAAAAATAAGATCTATGAATCTATAGAGGAAGCAAAATCTGAAGCCATGAAAGGTAAGTATTTGACATAACAGTTGACCTTTGATGTGGATTATGCAAAGTAGATAGTGTAATCTTTTAATGGTAGTGGAAGCCTGAGTATAGGCTTTTTTCCTTGATTCCCCTGTTCTTTTAAAATACAATTAGTGTCATAAAAATCAGTCGTAGTCTCTTTGTCCTTGCTTTGCTAGGTTAGACTCACTGTTTTAGTCTCGGGGTAAAACAGGTTCTCCATTGCACTGACCACTAATTCCTTTCTTGTGCTAGTGTATTCTGAACTAATTTTTCTTAAGTTTATATTACAAAAACTGCTTGAAACATTTTTGTTAAGAGCTTATCTGTGTTCTTACTCAGTGTACTCATACCTTTCTGTGTCTTCTTCGATAAAATAAATGTCAGCAACTTAACAGTTTAAATGCATAGACCAGATAGAGTTAGAAGTGGCAAAGCCTTTGCTACTCTTCCATAGTCATCATCCATATTCTGGTGCATCTCATGACAATTGAAATCTCTTGGAGAGAGGGATAATTACCAAACGGTTCAAGAAGATGGCTCTTACTTTTGAATTAAATGGCTTATGTTTGTTGCAGCTACATAAAAAGCTTCCTACAGATCCCATCCTTCAAATTGCAGAGCTTTTATAAACATTTTGAGCACGCAGATGTTCAAAAGAAGCCAAAATGATTCAGTAAGAATGGCTGAATCACTTACCATATCAGGTTCCTGAACAGCTTCAACTCTGTAAATGATTTCAAATTATTATAGTCAAAGCAACACTACAGTAGATTTAGGTGGATTATTTTTAAAAATCCACTTTTTTAAAATCTAAGATGTATTGCAGATAAACTGGAAATTATCTTGAAACTGAAAAGTAGGAAAAACCTATGTCAGGAATGCTTGCAAAAGCATCCTCTGGGTGTGGATTTACTGTGAAAATTTTAATGAATCACTTTTCAGCAGTCTTTCTCTTCAGTGTTAAAAGGATAAGCACGTTGCCTCTTGTTAATATGCGATGGACGTCCTCCTCCCCTTGCCCTCCAAAATCCACTGTTTTACACTGACTGATGTCTTAAATCTCTTACTTCACAGAAATGGAGAAGAAACTTTTGGAAGAGAGAGCTTTAAAGCAAAAAGTAGAAAATCGGTTGTTAGAAGCTGAAAAGCAGCGCTCCATGTTGGACTGTGATCTCAAACAATCGCAACAGAAAATCAATGAGCTCCTTAGACAAAAGGATATACTAAATGAAGATGTAAGGAACAATGACAAAAGGAGTCTTGAGTGGAACCTGGTTTTCATTGTCGTAATATTTTCCCCATTATAGCTATATTTAGGAATGCTTGTGAATGAAAATGGCAACAACTTTTTCCTTCTCTGTCTTTGAAGCTTTAAAAAGTGTACGTTATGGAGTGTGGTTTCATTTTTCTGAAATACTTCAGTGTTATTGATGTTAAAAAGTTTTTCTTCTGGAATGTAAAATGCTGTGAGATTGACATGGAAAAAACAGCTTATTTATTGTGTGCTAATGCCTTTATTCAGGAAACAGCTTTGACTTACCAAAACATGTGAGCATGTTGTACAAAAGTATAGAGGAAGTCAATAAGAGACATTGTTTAAATGTTGCTTTCCTGTGTAGGTCTGTAAAATTCACAGGTTTCTGTTTATTTTTCAGGTAAAAAACCTGACATTAAAAATAGAGCAAGAAACGCAAAAGCGCTGTCTCACTCAAAATGACCTCAAGATGCAAACGCAACAGGTCAACACCTTGAAAATGTCAGAGAAGCAGTTAAAGCAGGAGAATAACCATCTTCAGGAAATCAAATTAAGTCTGGAAAAACAAAATAACGAACTCCGCAAGTACGCAGGGTTGCTCTATATTTTTTAACAATGTTACTTATTTGTGATTATTTTTTTGCAAAAGCTGAAAGCAGTATTAATTTTTAAAATTTACTGCACAGAATATGGTCTTCTACAGTGCAAAACTTAATTGTTGTTTAAAATAATTTACAGTGACTGTAGCTACGATTTGCCCTAGTGATTCAGCACTGTGTAGATTTATAGTATGTTTGTTGTCCTGAAAATCTTAAAAAAACCAACTTAAAAACAAGAGTGTGAGGACTTCAGAGAAACATGTATTTAATAGAAAGTCTAGGTAGTTGGTTTTTTTTTAAATAACGTAGGCCTTCAGTGAAGAGGAATGTTACTGTCATTATGAGTTCAGGAGAGCTTATTAGAACTGGAAATAAATACTAATGCAGAGCTGTGAAACATAACCATTGGAAACCTCCGGCACTAAAGATGTTTAAACACATCTGTTTAGCCTTCAGATAGGAATTGTGTTAAATCCCTGCAGTTCTTCAAGGTCTTACAGGTAATATTTGCACCTGATAATAAATAAATGTTTTTTAACATGAAGAACATTCTTGTGAATGAAAAGCCAAGTCTAGCACATGTGTGAGATTAATCTCATTCTTAGCTTTATGACTTCTTATGGTTTATCTCCTGGTGCTTTATCCTTTCTGTCAGCAAGATGCAGTTAATAACCTAGAAGGTGGCTACATGTGACAGTTGCTGTGATGTGAAACAGTGGTAGAAATCTTTTCTGCTACAATATTGTTCTTTGTTATGGACTAAATGACTTTCTGAGTTGTTCTAATAAAGATGAGTTCAAGAAATGATGTGTGTGAAAGAATAGAGACATGTTTTCACAGGCAAGCTCTAGCAAACAAAAGACTCAAAACAATCTGTCAGATCAGTGACTTTTTACATGGAAATAAGATCTTGTCAGTGACTGTTTGCTTTATTAGTGTCTCTTACTGGTTAAACTAGGTGACACTATGGTAGTTAGTGTGTTAACAGTATTAAACTGACTTCTTATTGCTGCAGTTTTCTCAGCTGTACAAATGAAAAGGAGAGCTGTTACCCAGAGGAAGCCTCAGGTTTTATTACTGACCATACTTTGATCAGGAAATGACTGAAGATCTTAAAAGTATGAATGCTGTCTTTTTAATTGACTGGTTTGGAATATCTTTGTATCTTTTCTTTTAAAGTATGTTATTCCTTTCTAGGGAACGTCAAGATGCAGATGGACAAATGAAAGAGCTTCAAGACCAACTTGAAGCTGAGCAGTATTTCTCGGTATGTTTTATACTTCTTTATTTTTATCTGTTTACTAAGTACAATGTTAGCTTTTCTTCTTCCTCCTCAGCCATCAGGCATTTCATATCTCTAACCTAAAGCTAATCCCTTTTCTTGTGTCTGTCTTCAGCCTTGTCTGCAGCCTTGTCGTCACTCCCTGTTCTTGATCACTGAGTAGTGTGAAAGAGCTCATGTTAAGAAGTGTCCCAGTTTCGAAAGGGAGTCCTAAACACAGTTTAGAGGGAGGAAATAGCCAAGCAGCTCATTTTTGAATGATTTGAATTATGAATAATTTTCTGCATGTCTCAAGCCTTTTGCATTCAGCGTATCTTCCCTGCTGCATGGAAGTGAAGAGTTGTACTCTCAGAATCATGTGGTGTGACAAAATGTGTGTTTAAGTCTTGGAGGGAAATTTTTGCGTTAAAGCCAGACTTGGTGAGATCTGTGTTGGGCTGGCCCTGGCTGGATGCCAGGTGCCCACCGAAGCTGCTCCATCACTCCACCTCCTCAACTGGACAAGGGAGAGAAAACATAAGGAAAGACTCATGGGTTGAGATAAGGACAGAGCAGATCATTCACCAATTACCATCATGGGCAAAACCGAATGGACTTGTGGAAATTAAGTTAACTTATTGCCAGTCAAATCAGAGTAGGGTAATGAGAAATAAAACTCAAATCTTAAAACTGCCTTCCCCCCACCTCTCCCTTCTTCCCAGGCTCAACTTTACTCCCAAATTCTCTACCTCTTCCCTCCAGTGGCACAAGGGGACGGGGGTTGCAATCTTTTTTTTGCTCCAACATGGGGTCCCTCCCATGGGAGACAGTTTGCCACGAACTTATCTGACATGAGTCCTTACCACGGGCTGCAGTTCCATGGGGTGCAGTCCTTCAGGAACAGACTGCTCCAGTGTGGGTCCCCCATGGGGTCACAAGTCCTGCCAGCAAACCTGCTCCGGCGTGGGCTCCTCTCTCCATGGGGCCACAGGTCCTGGCAGGAACCTGCTTCAGCGTGGGCTTCCCACGGGGTCACAGCCTCCTTCGGGCATCCACCTGCTCCGGTGTGGGGTCCTCCACAGGCTACAAGTGGTCAACTGCTCCACCATGGACCTCCACGGACTGCAGGGGGACAGCCTGCCTCACCACAGTCTTAGGCTACAAGTGGTCATCTGCTCCACCATGGACCTCCACGGACTGCAGGGGGACAGCCTGCCTCACCACAGTCTTCACCACAAGTGACAGGGAAATCTCTGCTCCGACACCTGGAGCACCTCCTCCCTCTCCTTCTTCACTGACCTTGGTGTCTGCAGAGTTCTTTCTCTCACACCTTCTCACTCCTCTCTTCGGCTGCAGTTGCACCATTTTGGGGTTTTTCCTTCACCTTCTTAAATACGTTATCCCAGAGGTGCTACCACCGTTACTGATGGTCTCAGCCTTGGCCAGTGACAGGTCCATCTTGGAGCAGCTGGCATTGGCTAAGCTTCTGGCAGCTTCTCACAGAAGTCACCCCTGTAGCCCCTCCACTACCAAAACCTGGCCACGCAAACCCAATACAAGATCTTTTGGGAGTTTTTGCTTTATTGTGATAAGGTTCAACAGAACAAATAGGTATTGTACTTAAAAAGCATCAAAAGCATATAGAGATTAATTTATATTAACAGTGCACAGCCAGTTGCACTGCAGGTAGACCTCAAAAGACTTGTTTCAGAATTAAAGGAAACCTAAGATTTCACTGTGGTCTTTAGGTCAGTGAGGACAAGGACTGTCTGAAGTTCTAGCAGATCAAAAAGTTGCACACATTAAAGGAGAGAAAGGGAGAGTTGAGATCAGTTGACTGCTGTGGACAGACCAGAGACAGTCTTGAAATCCCTGCATTAAATGCACTTGCAGTTGTCTGTCACTTTACCTGTGTACAGTCATTTGCGTGTACAGAGTAATACAATTTTTCTTTCATTTCCTCTGGAGCTCTAGATTTGTATCCATTTCACAAAAAATTCTATTTTGAGTGATTTTCTGATCTATTTTTTCCGTTCCTCCTATAATTCTTTTTGTTCTTTAACTGTCATGTTGTTTTAATGGATATATATGGTTAAAATATAAATTCTACTTACCTGCCTCCCTCTGACAAAGATCTAAAATTGTAAAAAAAAAAAATTACCAATCTTCCTATTTCCGATACTTCTGATTTTCTATCAAATAGTGGTATTCACATTGAGAGTCTCTTTAACAGTATGTTTACAAACATATAAAATGTGTATCATGCATCTATCCATTCCTAAATACGTAAGTTAAAAAAACCCCAAACAACAAAAAAGTAAAATAACTGAAACATTTAGTAATTATGATGACAGTTAGTTAAATTTAGAAAAGCCATTGCACAATTATACTCTAGTTGTATCTGTGATTTAAGGATTGCATACAGTGTCATCTTGAATCGTTTTTGTGTACCTTCAAGCTTGATTGTGCAAGTCACATCCTTTTCTATCCAACTTCAAATTCTAGACTCTTTACAAGACGCAAGTTCGAGAACTTAAAGAAGAATGTGAGGAAAAGACAAAACTTTGTAAAGAAATGCAGCAAAAGATACAAGAGTTACAGGATCAGAGGTAGATTTTACTAGTTGTACTACTAATTTATAAAATTAGGAAGGCATTTTGGTTTTTTATTCTTTTTTTTTTTAACTCCCCCTCCCAGTATAACTTCCTATTTCTTAAATTAATAGAGTTAATAGTATGTATCAATAATTTTCAGAGATTCCTTGGCTGCTCAGCTAGAGATTACTTTGACAAAAGCAGATTCAGAACAACTTGCACGTTCCATCGCTGAAGAACAGTACTCTGATTTGGAAAAAGAGAAGATTATGAAAGAGCTGGAGATTAAAGAGATGATGGCTAGGCATAAACAGGAACTTACTGAGAAAGATGCCACCATAGCCTCTGTGAGTAATATGAATCACAGTTTTGGTAGATTTTACATGGGCTTGAGTTTTATTTGCCATTTGAGTTCTCCATTGTTATTTAGCATACTTGGAGGTAAGTGATACACAAGTATATATGACATTCTAAAAATATTTATTTTCTATGAATAAAATAATAATAAAAAATCTCTTCCATGCATCTCTCTGTTCATTCTTCTGTGCCCCTACCCCTCTTACAGCTAGAGTGAAACCCTTATCCTGGTTTCACTCTGAAGCATTTCCTTCTGTTTTGTAATGCTTTCATATGCCAAATGTGTTTTGTTACATAGTCATGTCTACTTTTTGTTTTGTAGTTGGAGGAAGCAAATAGGACACTAACTAGTGATGTGGCTAATCTTGCTAATGAGAAAGAAGAACTAAACAATAAACTGAAGGAAGTACAAGAACGTATGTATTCTCTGAACCAGATGTAATTTAATTTGAAACTGGTTTTGTTCTTTAATAGTACTATTTTCTTTTGTGATGAGCTTTCATAGATTTTCTTTTTTGTTATTACCTTGCTACAGAAATTACAAAGCTAAAAGAAGAAGAAGCAAATATAGGAAATATTAAAGCACAGTTTGAGAAACAGTTGTTGAATGAAAGAACACTGAAAACCCAGGTAAGGAAATGTATCTAAATTAATTAAGAGATAGTGTTGATGTATCAAGTAATTTTAACAGAAAATTTTCCATGGTAGACTATCTGTATATACCATTAACATTTAATTCTCTTTTGCCCCGATACAAAATATATTGTTTTGTTGTTTGGTTGGGTTTGTTTGTTTGCTTTGGAGGGTTTTTTTTTTTTCTTCTACTAAGTAGACTTTCAGTGTAGTGAAACTGCATCCTCGTAATTTATTATGGAGGAACTCTGATCCAAATGCAGTCTACCAGCGAAAATCTTCATTTCAGTCAAATGAATTCATATTTTACTGGTTTCCATCTTGATTATATTCCTCTGTAAATTCCTTAAAACAGTATATTTCTGATTTTAGTCTGTATTTTTTTTTTTTTTTTTAAGTACAAGTGATATTTTAATGAAAAGTTACATTTTTGGGTTAGCTAATTGAAACAGAAGAGAATATTTAAATGAGTAGGAGTGTTCAGAGCAAGTGTTTGCTTAAAGTGAAAGTGGCATCATTAGCTTCTTTTCAGTTTTGAGTAGTACACTGAATTAAAGCAACTTTGTAGTACTGGATATTCAAGGGTCTTAGTTCACAACTAGATTAAAAGTGTCTGGTTGTGGATAGGAGAGAAGACTTTATTTCTTCACAATATAACTCTTTGTATTTATTGATGTGGTTTTTGTTTTTATTTTTTCTTCCACATGGGCAGGCTGTGAATAAATTGGCTGAGATCATGAATCGGAAGGGTCCAGTCAAACGTGGAGCTGACACTGATGTACGGCGGAAGGAGAAGGAAAATAGGAAACTGCATATGGAACTGAAGTCTGAACGAGAAAAGTTAACCCAAATGATGATCAAGTATCAGAAGGAAATCAACGAAATGCAGGCAGTAAGATCCTTTTGCAAATAGAAACATTGATGGCACTTTCTGTAATTCTCATTGAATTGATACAGGCTTTAAGGCAGTGTATTCAGTCTCTATTCCTGAATTTCCCGTGACCAAAAGAAGTACAGAGTATATATATATTGAGATTGACTACAAAGTCTTCATAAATTTCTACTTATATTTTCACTGAGTAACTGAGTATTGTGGTAAATTTTTGTAATTTATCCTTACAGCAAATAGCAGAAGAGAGTCAGATACGGATTGAGCTGCAGATGACTCTGGACAGCAAAGACAGTGACATTGAACAGCTTCGGTCACAGCTACAGTCATTACACATTGGTCTAGACAACAGTAGCATAGGCAGTGGACCTGGAGATGCTGAGGCAGATGATGGATTCCCTGGTATGTTAATTTTATTAATCTTTATGCATTAATTTGTTTTATATCAGTGTTTTACCATAGAAGCTGAACTATTAAATTAACGCTTTGATGATTCTGTGGCTTTTCATCTTTAGGTGTTTCTATCATTTTATTAATGCTTTGGTAGCAATCACTATCCACTTACTAACTAAATCTGTCTGTAATCATACTTCATCTTACATTTAGTTAAATAAATTTCTTTTAAAAATTCTTTTGTACCCCATTAAAACTAAATATTTTTTTCCACTTTTAAGTTACTTTGCAATTACTGTGTTTCTTGATGAAATGTAAAACTAATACTCTCCTCTTAGAGGTTCTATTTTGACTTCTTTTCTACCTTTTTCCTCCTTTATGCTTTATGTTTAGTCCATATCACTCAATCCCACACTATGGAATCCATGTCTTTTACCTACAAGCACTCTTCTACCTCTGTCAGTATTGCCACTAAGCCTTCCAGTTCTCGCATGCTTCTCGATTCTGATTCTGACTCAGAGGAAGAACCTTTGTCTTGTTCCCACAGCCCTACAGAAGTTGATAGCACAGGTGACATCCCTGAGAACTGTTTGGTTTTGTTCTTAATGTGTCCTGGGTTTCAGAACTAACACTATTAATACATTATTTTAAAAAAAAAAAGTCTGTCAGTAAACACACTGCAGGGGCAGTAAACATTGCCATCAAAGACATGAAAAAGTTTGCATGAACAAATAACTAGCCTGCTTTCTCTAAATGTTTACAGATGCTTGCTGCCATTTATAAAGCTACAGTTTTTATTAAGGCATTGAATAATGCGCCTTATGGCCTTGTTTTCAAGGTAGCCCTTATCCAGTATCTGCAGCTATATGTATGACCCTAAGATACTGGATGCCAAGAAGTCAAATCTTTGTATTTAAGTGAAGTGTGGAGACATCTAACTCCTCATCATCTAAATGTACATTACTTGCTCATAGAAATTCCGTCTCCTGGGTATGACTTTGCTTTGCCTTATTTCAATCCTTATATTTCATTTTTGTATGGTAAGGCAAGCAAAATTTATTCATTTTTCCAGATCCATAAAGCATATGATGAAATTACATGGCTCTGGTAAAACAGAGCTTTGTTTTACTAATTTTATATTTATTTATATGACTACACACACACTGTGTTGAACAGAACTTCTGTTTAGTGTTAACATCACAGGTGGGGATTTAATTACATTCAAATTTCTGTATTTCACTTGAGGTTCCTTTAAAGTATGAATATCTTCCCACTGAAGGCAAAACTTGTTTTGAAATATTAGCATTACTTCATCAAACTAGAGTAGAGTAATGCATTTCATCTGTTTTGCTCATTCTCTGGTTTTTGCTATGAGACTTCTAATAAAAGAATTATTAAGTAAATGTTTTTTTCTTGTTAGCGGCTGTTGTGGCATCTGCATGGTTTTGTTTTGTTCTAAAATAAAAATCATACCTAAACTAGGACATTTTTCTGACATAAAGACAGCAGATTTGAGGTGCAATGGTTGTGTTTTGTTGTTTTTTTCCCTCCTAGTTCTTATAAGCATGTACTGTGAAGATTTTGGAAGGTTCTGGCCTTTCTTTGATCTATTAGTATAGAATGGATACCAGAAATGAAAAAGTGTAACCAGAAACTCTCAGTTTGTCCAATTTCATGTGTTAGTATTAGAGATTACAGAGAAAAATAGGAAAAGTATTAAAGCATTTTTTTTTTCCATACCATTAACAAAGTACATATGCTTCCTAGATGTGGGAAAGGATTTTTTGCATCAGCATTATGTTTGCTACCCTTTGTATCCCATGTAGTTGAAAGGAACAATTTAAAGTGGCAGGTATGAGGTTAGAGAACTACTTCAGATACTTGGTATGTACATTAAAATGTGTCACCAACAGCAGTGCTTTTAGAGCAATAAATTTTGAAGACAGTGCATATCTGAATAAATAACCTTGCTTTAAGACTCTGTAAAAGAAGGAGAATTCTATGAATATCTAATAACTATTGGTTACACTATGTTAAACATGGGCAGGAGCCTGCAGATGCCCTCTTATGAGGAAGAAAATAGCTTTTGCAATTTTGGAGCATGTTTATGCTCTTTTCATGGTTTTGTGTTTGTTAATACTTAAGGCTTCGGTATTTCTGACGTGGAGGTTCCTCAGAAGCAGTAGAGATTATCTGCTGGAGTGGGAAACTCATTAGGAAAGTACTACTCCAATTCAGCAGTTACACTTAGTGAAACATAGGGGAAGGAAATGCTTGTATTGAGTGCAGCTATAAAAATAAGGTCAAAGGCTATGTGATACTAGGTATTACCAAGCACTAGGGAAGTGTCATCCTGGTGAGCTTTTGGTTACTACTGAAATGTGTGTCAAACAACAGCTGAGCTGTTAATACCGTTGATAAATCCAGTCTGACTAACGTGCTAATGTAATGTGAGTGAAACGACAGTTGAGTCTAGGCAAGGCCTAAGGATTAGCCAAAAATTACTTATTTTGGATTAGAAAGCCTAGGAGATTTAGGCAAAATTAGAATAAAGAAAAATTGTCAGAGTAAAAAATATGAATTGGAACACTAAACTTCTCAAATTTTACCTGGTGTATAGCATATATAGATTATTGGTGATGGTAGTTTGCGTTTTTTTGTCTTGAACTGGATGTTGTGTGGCTTGTACTAATATATTCAGATACTGTTCTAAAAGGTAAAGGTTGATAGACATAAGCATTTTAAGTCTTGAAAAAAATACTAAAGAGAATGTGTGTGCTATAATTGCAGGTTTGTTCTTCCCCCTTCTTCCTCGTGCCTACTACTTTTTTATGATTGCATTGTTGGTTTTTTGGCTGTATTCAGGAATATAAGATTTAATTTTTCCTGAACAAATATCTACTGTGATAAACTTTGCAAAACCTTGTGGTTTTAAATAGTTCATGTTCTTATGTTTGTTCTACTGCTTTATTACTGACTTTCGAAAACTATTTTAAAATGCACAGTAGTCTCAAAAATAATGTTTTGTGAATATTTATGTTCTTTATTATGTATCTTTTTATCAGAATCAAGATTGGAAGGCTGGCTATCACTGCCTGTTAGAAATAACACTAAAAAATTTGGATGGGTTAAAAAGGTAAGAAAACCTTATTTATTATCTTCAACAAGATTCATGTGTAGTCTGGATTTTAAACTTATTGCAGGTTTTCAACACTTTATTTTTTCTTTGATATATGTTCTCTTATTACTTAAATGTATAAAATATGTTAGCTGGTATAGCTGTGCCTGAGAGGAGCAGGTCAAGACAATTGTAGTAGATTAAGACTCTTCTTTTTCCAGCCAGAGATGAGAACAGCCATTCATGATCTCCAAACATTTGTACATTCAGCCATAAGCATTCCCAGCAGTATTGCGTAGCTGCAATTCGGCAGAACTTGGAAGCAGATGCCTTTGACAAATTCTTTATTGGGAATAAAACTAACAACCACTCATCTGCCTTGTGCAGCCTTCGCTCATGTACTGCTTTTCAGTAGCCTCTTTGGTTGGTCTTTGCCCAAAGAGTAACTGCACAGTTTCATACCAGTTCGCTTGACACAATTCTGGGAATAGAAGGTCTTCTAGATAACTAGCTCTTTTATGAAAAATGCTAGCAGTGCTGGTAAGTATAACAGTGATGTTTGTGAGTACCATCCCTATTAGTTGTGAACTCCACATGTAAAATAGGCATCATAAGATGACAGTTAGTCTCACTCCCAGTCCAAGTAAAATAGAAATTAAAAGCTTTTCTCTTACTTTCTTCCAGACTTTCATTTTTATCTCTTCAAAGGTACTTAATTCTGTTTAAATATCAATTACTCTGATAACATACATTGTTTTATCAGGTAATCAGAATTGTATTTGTTGTACAGTGAATTTATTGGCAAATCATGGGCTTAGAATACAGTGCTACTATTTTCCACTTGGCTACCATTTAATAAAATTGTAGAAGAATATTGCTGTGACATCTGAGGTAATTGCTGTGACATCTTTGACGAGCTTGATTAAAATGTGTATTTCATCCTTTTCTGTCTCTTAACAGTACGTAATTGTGAGCAGTAAGAAGATCCTGTTCTATGACAGTGAACAAGATAAAGAACAATCTAATCCCTATATGGTATTAGATATAGAGTAAGTATTATCACGAGATTACTTCTGTCTGATTTGCAGGTGAACTTTGTCGGAAAGACTTTGACAAAAGGCCTTTTGAGGTGCAGTCTGGGAGCGCAGCGTCAAATGGGGCATACTTCTGCAGTTTGGCCTGCAGAGCTGGGAGCTTAAGTATCAGTTGTGAGCAGTGGTGCAGTGGTGGTGTGGGGCTCAGTCTCATACAGGTAGCTCTGTTGAGTTCTGATGCAACTGGACTGCATCCACTAGCTCAGCTCGACCTACCTTGCATACACATTGTAGCAAAAAATGTTAAGAAAACTGTAGTGGAGAGACTATAATTTTCAGTGTTTGTACATTTTCATTTACAACATGTTCTTACATGTGGATTGTATAGTTAGTTAATTTATTTTCTTAATAAATACAGAATGTGGATATTCAGAGATTGGTGCGTGGGCAGAAGATTGTGTTTGAAAGATACTGGTAATTGTTAAAGGCACGTGATGTTGGGTTTTCAGTGCTGTCATTTTTTTTTGCAAATATAGCTGTATACTTGTGACTTCTTTTTATTTAGGGTTTTGAGAAGTTCATGTGCAAGATTGAAAGATAGGAAGTTAATCAAGTGATCAGAAATTTATACTGACAAATCTTTAATGGCTCTAAGTCTTAATGTGGTATGTTGTATCCTAAATTAATCTGTCAATTTAAATTTATCGTATTAGTAACATTTTTTTTCATTATTGAAATAATTTCCTATAGCAAACTCTTCCATGTTCGACCAGTCACTCAGACTGATGTGTACAGAGCAGACGCCAAGGAAATTCCTAGGATATTCCAGGTATTCAGTAATAAATTAATGTTTCTAGTGTAACAAGGATGGTATTTTGCACATTGTCAAAACTATTTTCATAACTTTGTCTACTGGAATATTCACTAAAAAAATAAATTGGAAAAAATCCATTCTATAGTATTTCTTCAATCTTTATACTTGATTACTCTTAATTTGTTTGTCATATAAGAGTACTGAGATTATTTTCTTTCATTTTAGATTCTATATGCTAATGAAGGAGAGAGCAAAAAGGAACAGGAATTTCCCGTAGAGCCCATGGGAGAGAAGTCAAATTACATTTGTCACAAAGGACATGAGTTTATACCCACACTTTATCACTTTCCAACCAATTGTGAAGCTTGTATGAAGCCACTGTGGCATATGTTTAAACCTCCTCCTGCTCTAGAATGTCGCCGTTGCCATATCAAATGTCACAAAGATCATATGGATAAAAAAGAAGAGATTATAGCACCTTGCAAAGGTAAATACAGGTATTTGAATATGCCTACAGTCAGTGGAGTCACAGGGCATTCTAATAGGCCTGAGGATTCTAGTAGTGGTCTGACACCAACTAAACAGAAACAGGTAGGTTTTTCTTTTGTTAGTATGTAGCTGTCAGAACCTTTCTAAAGATGTCTACGCAAGTTTCAGCTCACTGCTGTGAGTCAGTGGCACATGGCCAATATACATTGTACATCCCTGCTGTGTTGTCAGCATCATGCAGTAAAGTGTGGTAGTGGTAAGGCAGCTCACGCTGTCTGTTGTGCTGAATTGCTATATAAAACGATAGTGTTAGTGGGTGTTATGAAGTAGATGATATGCAGTAAAGTTTAGTCCTTGTGACTCAGGCTCCACAGTTTCTTAGGCTCAGGCACACCTCTTTGTGTTACCCTTCCTTGACTTTTTTCCATGTGAGTGTGTATCTTCATTAGTACTAAGTTGTTACCCTCTAAATAAAAGGAGGAGGCACTGTCAGCAACCAGGAAACACAAAGTTCAGCAAAACCTGGTTCACTTCGCTTTTGATTTCTCTGCTGATTTCTCTGTGTTAACTGTGAGGGTATGGTAATCTGACAACTAATTTTTGGTGTGGGGACATGTTTAGACTAATAACAATATTCATTTCTATTTTAAAAATTCTTATTGCAGTGTACTATGATATTTCAACGGCAAAGAATCTACTACTGTTAGCTAATTCTACGGAAGAACAGCAAAAATGGGTGAGCCGACTGGTGAAAAAAATACCCAAGAAGCCTCCAGCACCAGACCCCTTTGCTCGATCTTCTCCCAGAACTTCCATGAAGGTACAACCAAACCAGTCCATCAGACGACCAAGTCGACAGCTTCCTCCAAACAAACCAAGGTGACTTAAGAGCTGCTATTTAGTTTATTGTTTTAAACCTTTTACTACAATTAATGTCATATATGTTGATGAGGACAGTTGACCACAAATGTTGTTGACTTCTGATATGTAATCTCTAGCATGTCATCTTCTATAAACCTCATTTAAGTTATTAGAAGAGCCACTGTGTGTGTTCTGTTGTGTAAAAGAACTTGCATTACCTGTTAGTTAACCCTACCATACTGATAACATATCCTATTGCTCTTACCTGTAATAGGCAGAACTTGTAGCATTGTCTGTAGTTTAATAGTTCCCGTGAACTGGCAGCTGGTAGGGAAAATGGGATTTAACTTGGGAAGGTGTCATTGAGAGAGGTGTGAAGATTTAAAAAAAAGGAAAAAAGAAAAAATGGTTTAATGATCTTCAAAATGGCCACCACTGTACCTGATTTGAAGTTGAGCCATGAAGATAAGTGCTTGTGGTTCTAATGGACCTTGGAGAGAATTGGGTGCCTTCAAAAAGCAGGCTAGAAGGCCTTACACATAGTGAAAGACTAGGTGTCTTTTATTTCTTTATTGTTTGGTTTTGAGGTGTGTGTTTGAATTCCTGCCCTGCTCTAAGGTTAGGCATCTGATTGCAGATTTGTATCTGAGAGTGTGTTTCAGATGACCAAATGTGTATGTCTGTGTCTGACTCCATTACAGTTGATATTTAGGAAGAGTTGTTTCCAGGATGCATATCCTCCTAGTGTAGAAAAGGAGGATACAGCATGCTCTGGGCATCTACACTGAAAAGCTAGTTCAGATGAGTTTAACTTCTGTGTCTCTGCCCATGCAGGTTCCACAGTGTGGAGCCCATTGCAGCAGTGGTAGGCACCCGTCAGAGCATCATTTGTGCTTTTTGAAAGAGAGCAGGAAGGTGGGAGGTTTGGGGTCAGCATTTGGTCACGTCACTGGAGCTCCCTTCCCAAAGGTTGGGAGAATTGGTTTCAATTCTTCATTCAGCCTAGAAGGACTCATGCTCACATCTCATGATTCCTAAAGGAATAGTCTTATCAAGTTCCTCTGATTTGGGAAAAAAATGTCCATACAAAAACCAGTAATCTATTACTGTATCAATTTTAAGGAGCAAAATCCCATACTGTGTTGTGGAAGTGATAACATTCTGCAGGTAGTGCTTATGTGACTGCACTGTACAGAATTTCTGGGTTTCTTTGAATTTGCTTCTCTCATCACCTGGAGTACTAACTAATACTTGGTTGTATCAGTGCCCATTTGCTGACAGCCGTGGAAAGTTTGGTCTGGCTTGTTTTGTTTGTTGCAGTATTCCAGCAGCAATGGACAGTTCAGCAAAGGCTTAACATTTTTCTCTAAAGAGATAATTTGGCAGTGACTAGGCAGTGTTGCTCTCCTTGATTCTGTGAGCAGACTGCTACCAATATCTGAGCTGGCTGGTTGAACACGGGGTTGGGCGAGTTGCCAGAGTTACAGTGGGGAATGCAGTGTGAGTGTGCTCTTACTGTGATGCTGCTGGTATCCCAAAACAGCCTTATGCTACAAAGAGTTAGATCTTAAAAAAACACTGGTATTTTAATGTGTGGAAATGCATAGTGAAAGGACTCAAAGTAGCTTAATTTCACTTCCCTCCTAACTTCCGTACAGTCTAATTAATAGTGATTTGCTTTACATGTTTAAAAGAAAGTCAAACCTCATAATTTGGATTTTAAATTATTAGATTTTTTTTTTTAATTATAACCATGAAGGTAAAATGGTTTTTAATCATTTAATGCTTTTCAGGGACCAATTATTGAAGATTTTCTTTGTGCAAAACTAGTGATTGGTTTGAAGCATGAATCAAGGAAATATTGATGACAAGTAGAATGGTTTTTTTTCTGCATAGTGTTTACAATCTAATTCAGTAGTGTTATTCTGTTTCTTGCTGTCAACGTCTCTGATTCTTTTTCCTCAGCTCTTCTTAGGTGTTCTGAAACTAATGTTTTTCCTTCTATAACACCCTTCTTAAAATCTTCATGATCTTTTTTATAAAATGCTTTCATAACACAATATTTACTCTTGTTTTTAATTGTGGTCCTCCACTACAAATCAGTCTTGAATGTTTGGGGTTTTTTTCCTATCTGTATATTTTGTAATGGTGAGAAGAGGAGGAGGATGAATATTTTTGTGTGTAAACCATTTTATTTTTGCAGTTAAACTTTCCAAGTTAGCTTTGCAAATGTACTTAACAGATGGAAAAGTGTAGTTCTGTGAGGTCATGTCACCTATCACCTTACTAATGCAGGTCTGTCAAACCAGTGGAAATTTGTACGGATTTAAACACTTTTAATTAGAAGCCACATACTTAAAAATTACTGTAATTGCTGTGGCCAACTTATCTGTGACTGGTGCTTCTATGAAGCTTTTGTGCAAGGGCTTACCATGTGGAATAATTAATTTTCTGTTACTAACTTTATTAAGAATGAAGATGTAGTTGCCAGTTAAATCTGGGGACAAGCTGGAGGTGAGCCAGCAGTGGGCCCTGGTGGCAGGGCAGGGTCTGGGACTGCAGCCAGATGATTGAGGGAAGATATTATCCCTCTCTGTTCACTCCTTAGCCTGCAGCGAAATACTGCCTCCACGTTTGGGCCCCCAAATTCAAGCCAGACTGACAAACTGGATAAAGTACAGTGGAGGCACCCAGGATGGTGAGAGCAGAGACCTGAGGAAGCTGGGCTTGTTCACCCTGGGTGAAGGACATCTCCAGGGGAGCATCATAGCAGCCTGCCCCTGTGTGTGAAGACATGGAGCCAGGCTCTTCAGTGCTGCATGGTGGGAGGGTGAGAGACAAGGGACTCGGTTGTACCAAGAGAGATTCCACCTGGATAGAAGGAAAAGCCATCGCAGGCAGCTGGGCAGGGGGGCTGGACAGGCTCCATCCTTGGAGGCTTTCAGGGCCTGACAGGACAAAGCCTTGAGCAGCCTGGGATAACCTTGTAGCTGACCCTGCTTTGAGCAGGAGGTTGGGCTGGAGACTTCCTGATAGATCCCTTCCAACCTGCATGGTCTTATAAATGCTGTCTCTGCTAGGAATCTCACACATTGATTGCTTCTCCAAGGTCTTCATGGCTGTTGTTCTTCATGTTGATTTAAGGAAGAGACAACCAGTTTTTGATATAGACAACACAATTTCTGTTTATTTGTTCAGTGGGATTGTGCCAAAAGGGTAATTCCAAATTTAAAAAAAATAAACTTTAATATATTTTAATATCTAATAAATTCTTTAAGTATTCACAAATTCCAATAGCCATAATTCATATAATAAATGAATATTGAGCCTTTTCAGGAATATATCACATTTAAAAGTGTAAAAACTTTACAACCTGAAAGCTCAAAAAACCCCTGAAGCCCATTTTGTTTACAACATGTGATTAACTATATTAAACACTGGCATGTTTTAGTTAGAACACACTGAACTCTGTTAGGGTAAGGTCTCTAGCTCTTCCTGCTGTGGTTGGTGTATAATCCTGATGTAAAATCCAGTGAGCTCACTGGAAAGATGACTAGACTGGGTTTCATTTCTTGTAGCTATAGCAAATGAGAAGTTAAGTACTTCAGATATTTGTCTAAGATCCTTTGATAACAACAGAAAGAGATGAATGCCTCTAGACAATGATTCATCCCGTCCCAAAATAAATGCCTAAAATAGGTAAAATGACTCATTTGCTGCCAGGGTCTCCCTGGCTTGCTTGCTTTGTTCCATATTGACCATAGAAGGAGCGCAGGCAGTGACGCCCAGGGAACAAGTACATCCTCTTTTTTGGCAGTGCTTAGCTTTAAATAATGAGCGACAGGATAGCTGTATAGTGTAATCCCGCTGTGTTTGGCATGTAGTAAAATCCTGCTGTGTTTGTTTGTAAATTCAGATGGCACTATTTTATTTGATGTTCTGTTCAGCAATCAAAATTATTTGATTTTACTGGAAAGGTTGTTAGTCTGGTGTTATTGTCTGGAAAAGGACAGCAGGAGAGTGTAAAACTGCACCTCAGTCAACAAGGACAACAGCAAAATGGAAAGCAGATAATTTTATTAAATGTACATGTTGGTCTTTTCTACTGACTTTTTGGGGGGGAAAAATCAATATGGTAAGTGTTGTATAGAATTGAATAATTTGTGAGATAAATTTCCAGTGAATACAGTATTCGTGGCTTACATGAACTCTAACTGAATCTTCGTATTCCGTGATAGGTGAAGGAAGGAACCCACCTACCTTAGCACAGTCTTTTATTTAAAAATTTAGTGATAACAAATGGAATTTTGAAGTCTTTTATAGAAGTATGACACACATTAAACATTAAACCCTCCTGTTGCAGATTACTTGATCTGGCATTTAAGGACTGGGATTGGTCATTTGATGATGTTGATGATATTGATGATGGTGATGACGATGTTTTTGATTTCTGAAGAAGTATAAGGGGTAAATCTAAATAGTGAGGAATGGATTTGTTTGCCTTTGAATACAGCATGCTGTCTTAGATTTTGTTTCTCAAAGCAGAGAAAATAAAAGATCTCATTTTAATATTTTAAACAATGAAAATGAGATTCTGTTCATGATGTCGATGAATTTTTAGAGGAGTTGTTTTCATTAAAAAGATGTTGTTGCCTTTGTCAGTGTTTCTATTTTTCTAATTTTAGATCTTTATTCAAAATTCATGTCTGCCTGCCCAAAAAGAAAATATCTCCTGTTGTCAAAGTAGTTGCTAATCTGTAGTGCTGCTACTGGTAACCTCTGCAGATAATTTTTGAATGCTGAAAGGGAGATTGTAGCAGTTGGATGGTTAGCTGAAACAGAATTGGTATTTGCAAATACTTTTCATTTTTAAGCTTTTAACATAAACTGTCTATGGCTAGCAGACATGAAATGGCCAGAGTTCTGCATTTTGCTTTTCTACCTGTGTTATGAAGTGAGTTTGACTTGGCTTTCCTTTGCAGTGCTGTGCTTTCTTGGGTACCTAACCATGCATTTGAAAACTACGTAAACAAACGGGCTTTGCAGCTTCTGTGATGCAGTTTCCTTAACTGCTTTAGATGAGATAATGGCCATTTTACTGCTCTAATTTGTCCCATGGCTTACTTTAATATGCAGTGCGAGTGTACTGGAAATAGTGATAACTATTTTATAGTTCTCAGTGTTTAATCATTTCACATGTTGATGCAATGTTGTGTTTACACAAAAAAACCCCCCAAAAACCACCAAACCCTAAATGTTAAATTCCTAAGAATTCTTTTACATAGTATGTAAGGTGTGTCTCAGCCCTATATAATAATGGGCAATGACAGCAGCACTAGGGCTGTACCTCAGGGGTGTACTCAGTTAACTGAGATACCAGCTCTTGTAGAATTTAACTGGCTTAGTGTTTACAGTAACAAGCATTACATTAATTAAATATACTGCATCTTTATGTATTAAAAGCTTAAAAATTACTAAGCTTCTAGAAGTGACTATTGTGCGTATCGTACTTTACCCTCATATGTCACAAGGGGGTTGGGATGATAATGCGTAAGGATGTGCTATATTTAAGTAACAGTGCTGTTGATGCAGAGGAATGATGTTTCTCCCAAGTATGCTGATGAGCCCATCTTAAATGAAGACCTTGAGGAAGTGTATTTTTGAGAGATTTACATTTGTTGCATTTACTTACTTAAACTTCCTGCTTCTTTTTCAGCTAACTGCTTTCCGTGAATGCAGACACAGTTCAAGGTGATAATTTTCTTCCCGTTACGGCAAGACTGAAACATATCCCAAAATATATTAAAAATATATATTTTCCTGAGAGATTGTGCTATATATATCAGAGGTTTACATTTTTGCTGCAATATAAATTACTAATCTCTGAGGGTTTTCCTGTATTCTCCTGAGTGACTGATCAAATGAGGAATGGTTGGTAAATAGTAAAAGGATATGTTAGGTAGCCTTTTAAACTCTGTTCCACAAAAGCTTCCTTGGCAAGACACATACACTACATTTCATAAAAGAATTGAGAGGAATGAATATTAAAACGGAAGAAACTGACTTTCCAGCTTTCGTAAAGATGCCACCAGCATGTCTGCAAGAAGAACAGGAAGAAGATCCACCACAGTGATATAGACTGCATCTGTAAGAAGTGACCATTATACTGTGTATATATATTGTACTGTAATACCGCAAGAGGGTTTTAAAAATCTTTCCACTTTATTTTTTTATGCTTATTAATCAGATACCGTTACTTATTGCAGTTGCAACTATGCACTTGTATAAAGCCATAATGTTGAAGTTTATATCATTCATACACGTCTATCAGAAGCTGCATGTCAATGTTCAGCAGCTAGTATAAGTTTGAAGTGTATACTAGTTTCAGCTACATCATCATGGGCAGTCCTGTTTTACCCGTCTAATTGCCTTAATTTAATTTTTTTCAAGTTTTTTGCCCATTTTCTCTATTTAAGGAAAAAAGAAGGTTTACCAGTTCTTAGGATGCAATTTTGCTTTGTGGCAGAAAAAATAGTGCACTATTTTTACACCTAGTAAGTATATCAATGTCAGCATATTTTGAATGTATATCGACTGGTTTTAAGGGTGGAGAAGTGTTGGTTACAGATACACTGTCTGATACCGTTGGAATTACTAGACCGTTTGCTTGTAACTGCTCATCCAGCCCTTTTTACAAACCTCAATATTAGTTATTGACTTATATTAACCCTCATTAAGTGCTATGAAACTTCATTTTGCCTTGTTTTTGCATACTCTCCTAGATGTGTTTTTTATTTCTGGAAAAAAAAAAAAAAAAAAGAATCTGTGACTATTTTTACATTTCGCAACACGATATCCAAGGACTGTCACAAACATTAAGTAAAACATACTGTAGATGTATTTTAAAATTTTAAATCTGGTTCTCTAGCACATAGCTGTAGGTATAGGTAAATATTTCAGTCGTGTGTTTTGAGAACTGATAGCTGGGAAGAAAGGGCCTCTGAGGCACTTAATCTGACTTTTTTTTTTTTTTTTTTAACTTGGAGTTGTACAAAAATATAATTTATGTGGGCTCATTCATGATGTGTTCATAATTGTCCCAGAAAATGCATGTTTTATACAACTACAGTATGCAAAGTTAAACATATTGACAGTAAAAAATGTAGTCTCCTATTTGGTCTCTTTATATATATAAATATATATATATTT